TGACTAGGATGTGACTTAATGTTTCCCATAGTGATGCTAAAACCTGCATGGAGTGACATGGTTCGAAGCTGGTGGGCTTGATCATGATTCGGAGCATCATGGGCACACTGGTTCTGTAGGATGAGCTGTGTCTGGGGATAAGTTGAAGGCAGGCAGAACAGACACTGCACAGGAGCAGGTTGCCACTCTGGGGAGGTCCTGTTCAGCAGTCTGTGGTTTTGATATATATCAAAATCTTCTGTAACCAAGTTTTCAAAGCTTCATAGTAAATTTGGATATACACACTAAATGTGTAAGAATCCACCCTGTTGTCACACTGGTAAGACACAATTTAAAAATGAAGGCAACAGCCCCATCATTAAGTGTGTTCCAGGAGGGTCAGGGGACTTGGCTTCCGCATCTTTGGGCGGTGCACTGCCTACGCCATGTCATGTGGGGCCATCTGGGCCATGTCCCTCTCTGTAGCTGTCAGTCTGCACCACTCATGCTATGTTAGCAGCTCTTGGAACCACAACCACCATGCTGAAAGGGCTGCCCGAGGCACACTGGGTAGTGTGGCAGTCCGCTCGCCTCCTGTGAGCACAGGGAAGCCTGGAGTTTTATGCAGTGATGCAAAGCAGTGATTTTAATGAGCAAAACTAGACTGAGAAATGCTGGAAACCATTTAGAACATTTGTAAAGTTAGAGTGGGAAGACTGTATAAATGTTTAATATGAATATAGTGGTCTTTGGAGTAAGGCAAGCTGTTGAATGGTTCAATTGTGCATTTCTCATTTCGATGTGTCATGTATGTTAATATGATGAAATAAAATCAGAACTGGTACCTGTTTATACAGAAGTGTGAGAAGTGACCTCTCCTTGAAGCTGTTACCTGGGTGGGAGCCACCCTATCTAAGTTGCAAAGAGGGGAGTCACAGAACCACCAGTGAGAGTTTAGCCATTTCAGCTGGAAGTGTCATTCACGTAGAACAGTGGATGCTGGCCTGCCTTCCCTATGCCAAGTGCACACTATAGAAACCTTCCTAGCGGCCTGGATTTAGGGTATACATGTACAGCACAGAAAGGAAACACCAGCCGTCTGCATGTACACCCACCACAAATGATTCCATAGTCCTCGAGGAAGGATAGTCTTAAACATTGTCCCTGGAAACTGGAATGAGGCTCAGGTGGTAGAGTGCTCATCTCGAATTCATATGGTGCTGAATTTGACTCCTAGCTCCATACATATAAACCAGACATGGTAAGCAATGAACATCCCAGCACTCGGGTGTGAGGGTAGGAACTTGAGGAGTTTATGGTTACCCTTGGCTACACAGTGGGTTAGGAGGCCAGTCTGTACTTCAGGAGAGCGTATCTCAACAACAACAAAAATCTGTTCTCCTCAATACTTCTACTTAGATATTTGACCATGGGAAATGCTTATTGTATATTATATAATATCATGTCAGCCTCACAAGTTTAATCAAAAGCACACTAAAGAGATGAAATGCTATCAGTAAAAGGCAGACAGAATGGGCATAAAGAAAATCGTTAGCCAGTGAGATGCCTCAGTGGGTAAAGGTGTTTGCCATGCAAACCTGGCAACCTGATTTCAGGACTCCCCAGAACCCATGTCAACATGGAAGAAAAGAACAAATTCCACAGTTCTGTGAACTAGAGAGAGAGAGAGGAGAGACAGACAGACAGACAGACAGACAGACAGACAGACAGGGAGTTCCAGGCCAGCCAGGACTCCGTAGAGACCTTGTAACGGGATGTAGTTCAGTGGCAGAGTGCCTAGCTAGCAGGCCCTGGTTTGGAACTAAAGAAACCATAAAACACAAAATGGAATCTTTCCTTTGTCCCAGCCCCACTTCATCAAATATTTACTCTGCAGACAACACTGGTTAGGAATCTGGGTTCATGGTATATTTATATTCTGAGGAGTTAACTTCTAAGAGGTAAGAAATCATATACATGCATATATGTATGTATATATGATTACTCAAAGCCATGTCTTAGGGTTGAGTGGCTGTGATGAGACACCATGACCAAAAGCAACTTGGGGAGGGGAGGGCTCACTTGGCTTACACTTCCGCATCACAGGCCATGGAAGGAAGTCAGGATGGAATGCCTACAGGGCAGGAACCTGAGGCAGGAGCTGATGCAGAAGCCATGGAGGGCGCTGCTCACTGGCTTGCTGCCCACAGTCTGCTTTCTTAGGGAACCCAGGGTCACCAGCCCAGGGGTGACACTGCACACAGTGAGCTGGGCTCTCCCACGTCAGTCCAGGAAACGTACCTCAGACTTGCCCACGAGCTACTGTAGTGGGAACATTTTCCCAACTCAAGTTCTGTCACAAGTGGCTCTGGCTTGTGTCAAGTTGACTCAGAAGTAGCCAGTGAAACAAAACCTACAACAGTGCCCTAAGATTGTAACCTGCTTTGTGTGTGTGTGGGGGGGTTGTTTTTGTTTAGGATAGCAGGTTTCTCTGTAGTCTAGGTTGTCCTGGAATTCACAGTGATGCACCTGCTTTGGCCTTCCAAGCACTGAGACAGAGTGTGCACCCAGACAGCATTATTACCTGCTTCAGTGCCCGTCCAGTTGTTAACATCTGTACCTAGAACAAGAGGTGAGGGCCAGCCTCAGTTGCCCTCCACCGTAGTAAAGAACCTGCAGTCAGTGCTCCGCTTGTCCCTAAATACAGGTAAATATGCTCGTCACAGGGAAGCAAAACAGGCTGTCGGAGGCCGGTGGACCTCTGGGAGGGGGAACACCCTGCGGGTTCACAGCCTGAAGGTGCTCTCCAAGTGCTGGGCGTGGTGGCACCTGTCCGTTACCCTGACACTTGGGGGAAGAGACTGGAGCATCAGGGAGTCATGATCCTTAACTACATAGCGAGTTCAGCGCCAGCAGCTGGCTTCCATGAAACCCTATCTCCAACCAAATGACCAGAGTTGAGCATCACAGACTTCGCGGTAGATGGGAAACTTAGCTTGTTTTCTCGAGGCCATGCTTGCCGATGACCTGGCCGCCCCTCTACCAGGTCCCACCTCTTCCCAGCATCACCATTTTCTGGGGACTGGGCCTTTCACATTCATGGACCTTTGATCAAGGGACATTAGCCCCGACCTATAGTACTGAGGGAAAAAAAAATGGCTGACCCAAAATCAAGGAACCTTCCATCCAGTGCTCTGTGGTAACTCTAGGCTACTTCTTCACTTCCACAACAACCTGTACTGGACAGATAGGCCATGGGATACTAGCCAACCAAGAGACAGCACAAGGATGCTTTGATACATTGTTCGGCTTCCCAGACTTGGAAAAGTACCCCGGAGCCCTCAGTACCCTCCGCTTCCCTGTGAGCTTTCACCCATGGGCATGAGTGCTCTGGAGACGCTGACATTACCCGGGCTACAGCTCATCCCAGCAGCTGCGTACAAGATAGAACCAGGCCTGACCTGAGCCAACTTTCCGCACTCTCTTCTTCCAGAACTCACTGGAACTTCACTGGTGGCCAACCCTACCCTGAAGGAGACCAGGAGGGGCTTCTGGGAAACAGTTTGGCTCAGCGAAGCTCACACCACCTCACCCATCCCACAGCAACACGTTAAACCAGGAGAACCCCCAGCACAAGCTCTGGCCGCACCCTTGTTTCCTGAAGAAAGAGGGCTAGCTGCTCCAAGTGTTCTTTCATCCCCAACCATTCTACCATGAAATGAGGAAATGGCAGGGGAGCCCTCAGGCTGAGTCTGAGCCGCATTTCAGGCACTGACTAAGCAAAGTTAAGCTGATGGCGGTAACGGAAGCCTGCACTGTTCACACAGCTCTGTGGACGTTAGTCCGCCTTACTTTGAAGGGCTATGGGCTTGTCTCTGTGCATAGAGTTGGGTTCTAAATACTCCAGAACCTCAGGGGAAAGACAATGATGGTGGTGGCTTAAAAATGCCCCCCACCCAGGATCACAAGCCCAGGGGTGACACTGCCCACAGGGAAGAAATGAGTGCCTACTACATTGCTGACAACACAGAGAGAGAACAGGGTGACATGCTGACAACAGAGAGAGAGAGAGCAGGGGTGACACACTGACAATACAGAGAGCATTCAATGCGGGCTGCCACTTCCTTCACCCAGGACATGCTCCAGAACCATCTTGGGGTATTTAATAGAATTTGAGCTACAGGACATCTGTTTTAAATTGTGCCTCCCTGGGAATTGCTCTAGAAATGGCTACAGCCCCAGTCATGAGATAAAAATGTCAGGACCACCTTCACCATGGGGCCCAGCACAGGTAACACAACAGCCCCGTTCCCAGCTTGGTGCTGCAGCTCCCCCAAATTCTCTGGCCTGCTTCCACACGGGAAGGAAGGCAGCAGCTCAGGGAGACGCAGAGTGTGACCAAAAAGCTGGCCTGACAGTGGCAGCTGCTGCCTGGGTTCTTCCAGCTCCAGAGAAATGGACAATCTATATGCTCAGTCATCTGCAACACACTAGACACATGAGGGACAGTGAGATGGTACCTGTAACCTCAGCACTGAATACCGAGGCTGAAAGGTCACCTTGGCCTAGTACGGAAATTCAGACCAGCCAGACGTACAGAGACCTGTTTCAACTCCCAACACCCACAGAAGGAAATTACTGAACAATACTAATTTTTCCCTATTTCTGATTTAATCTTCTTTTCTTTCTTGTAGTTAAAATACTCCTGCTTCCTTGGCCATCCAACTATCTTATGCCCTACATTTTATTTTGGGTTTTAAAAACACTGTAAATTAATGTCTGATTAAGAACCAGGATTTTGTAGGCTCGGTGGGTAAAGATGTTTGCCATGCAAGCCTAGAGACCTGAGTTCAGTCCCCAGAATCCACGTAAAGGTGGAAGGGGAGAACCAACTCCACAGAATTGTCCCCTGACCTCCAAGCATGCACTATGTATGACAGTCCTACTCACATACAACACATCAAATACACAAAATAATAATAAATAAAATGTAAAAATAAAGAAATCAGATTAGGATCAGATCAAGTTTAGCTGCTCCGCAATAACTTAAGCAGATTAATTTTAATCTTGTAAAACACTGAAGGCTGTTCTGTTCTGGAAGAGGGAACCAGTCGGAGGCTGCAGGCTCCCGGTCCCATCTCTTCAGAGCTCAGCTCTTGTCTGCAGGCCTGGTTCCCTGCATCCGTCCCCTCCCTCCCTAGGGCCTTTCTTCCTTGAACTGCTGTGATGGGCAGCCAGGCTTCCCTGGGCTTCATGATCCACAGAGAGGAGGGGAGACAGAGGCTCGCAGCCTCTTCACGTCCCTGGCGCATGCGCAGAGCCCAGTGGGACTCTGGTGAGAGAATGGCGGCCATTGGAGCGAGGGTCAAAAGTTGGTGCGAACCTTGTGGAGGCCGAGGTCAGCCGACAGAGGCTGAATGCTGTATGGGAAAGCAGAGTGAGTGAAGGGAGACTTCGGGCTCCGGTGACCCGCAAAAGGGGCCTGGTGCCCGGGAACAAAGAGGCGGTGTCCGGCGGGGAGGAAGACCCTGCCAAAGGCTCCTTGATGCGATGGTGCTTTCGTGGGACAGTGACTGGACTCAGACCTCATGTTTACACCCACAACCCAGGGAGCCTGGGCCAAGGCACAGGCGCCGAGGACAACACGGGGTCTTAACATTTTCTCCAGGTTCTTGCAGGAGCCAGTCTATATACACTTTTATTTCAGAAATCTGGGCAAAATAAAAATAACTCTTGATGCAAAGTTCTTTAGAGAATTCACAGACATTCAACTGTCCCGACTTCGGATTTCAAGGACGACGGTGTGGGAAGTCCTGGTCAAACACATCTCAGCCACCGCGGGCCCGGGCGGACGCTGGTGGAGCTGCTGCCGGCGGGGCGGGGCGGGGCGGGGCAGGGCGGGGCGGGGCGGGCGCAGCTAGCGGCGCTCGCGTTCAGGCCGCATGCTGAAGGGCTCCAGGCGCTCGGCCTCAGGCAGCATGCTGTTGAGTCTCTCCATCAGCGGCACCGTCTGGTCGATGCCCATCTGGATGCGGCGCAGGATGGCCGACATCTCATTCACCTTCTGGATCTGCTCCGCATACTTGGCGTATCTTTTCTGGCGCTCCTGCATGAAGCAAAACAGGGTTTCCACGGACAGATCCATCTGTAGGAGACAAAATAATAATAATAATGATGATAATAATAATAGTACTCATACTCTGCTTACCAGTGTCTAGAGAAGTTCTTCTCAACCTGTGGGTTGACCCTTTCTCAGGGATCACCTATCATATCCTACATATCAGATATTTACATCACGACTCATAACCGTGGCAAGACTGGGCCACCACAGCACTGTACGTAAAGGTCGCAGCATTAGGAAGGTTAAGAACCACTGATGTAGCACCAGTGAGCCAGTAAGTGTGTGTGTTTTCAGGACCCCTGAGCCATTCTGCGCGTAGCTGAGAGGGGGCATGGATGTGGCTGGCTGCTTATGTTATCCGTGTACCAATGAGCATGAGCTGACCAGGCCATGGGTGTTTTCTCTCCACTGTAGCAACAGGGACAGCCCCACACTGGCTGAAGTGTTCTGGGGACCCCCATGTGCCTCAGTGGGCGAGGCACTAAGTTGCATTCCCCCAGAAGGTGAGAACTAATGCCTTCAAGCTGCCCTCTGACCCACAGGCACTGTCTGATTGGTTTATACACACATGCAGAGTAGATAAAATGTAATTAGTGACAAAGAAGAAATGTTACTGTGCAGTTTTCTTCTTGCAGAGAAAGGGACAGAAGGCATAAATCTCAGCAGCTCCCTTGACAAAGCCAACCAACTCCTCCATAAGATGTCTACATCAGGATTCTTGTTTTGCTTCACATTTACTTAGTGTGTGCACTGGGGTGTTCACATGGGTGCTCCCATGCCATACCACGCTAGGGGAGGTCACAGTGTGGGGGTATAGGTTTTCTTCTTACACCATGTGGGTCTCAGGGATCAAGCTCAGGTTAGCAGGCTCAGGTTAGCAGGCCCAGGTTAGCAGGCCCAGGTTAGCAGGCTCAGGTTAGCAGGCCCAGGTTAGCAGGCCCAGGTTAGCAGGCCCAGGTTAGCAGGCTCAGGTTAGCAGGCCCAGGTTAGCAGGCCCAGGTTAGCAGGCTCAGGTTAGCAGGCTCAGGTTAGCAGGCCCAGGTTAGCAGGCCCAGGTTAGCAGGCCCAGGTTAGCAGGCCCAGGTTAGCAGGCCCAGGTTAGCAGGCCCAGGTTAGCAGGCCCAGGTTAGCAGGCTCAGGTTAGCAGGCCCAGGTTAGCAGGCTCAGGTTAGCAGGCCCAGGTTAGCAGGCTCAGGTTAGCAGGCCCAGGTTAGCAGGCCCAGGTTAGCAGGCTCAGGTTAGCAGGCCCAGGTTAGCAGGCCCAGGTTAGCAGGCCCAGGTTAGCAGGCTCAGGTAGCAGGCCCAGGTTAGCAGGCCCAGGCCCAGGTTAGCAGGCCCAGGTTAGCAGGCTCAGGTTAGCAGGCCCAGGTTAGCAGGCCCAGGTTAGCAGGCCCAGGCCCAGGTTAGCAGGCCCAGGTTAGCAGGCTCAGGTTAGCAGGCCCAGGTTAGCAGGCCCAGGTTAGCAGGCCCAGGTTAGCAGGCCCAGGTTAGCAGGCCCAGGTTAGCAGGCCCAGGCCCAGGTTAGCAGGCCCAGGTTAGCAGGCCCAGGTTAGCAGGCCCAGGTTAGCAGGCCCAGGTTAGCAGGCTCAGGTTAGCAGGCCCAGGTTAGCAGGCGTGGCTGCAAGCACCTTTACCTACTCCGCCATCTCACTGGCCTCAGGATTCTTTCACAGAGAGAAATCTCAACAGGGAAGGAGTAACACACACTCCAAAATATCCCACAACAGGTCTCACTAGTCCCCAGGATGGCTACCTGACACTCGGCTACCTCTAGACTTCCGCCTGGACACCAAGCCCCCAGTAGTAGTTCCCAATCTTCCTAATGCTGTGACCCTTTAATACAGGTCCTCATGTGGTGACCCCAAACATAAGATTTTTGTTACTCCTTTTTATCTGTAATTTTGCTACTGTTATGACTCATGATGTAAATATCTGTGTTTTCTGGTGGCCTTAGGTGGCTCCTGAGAAAGGGCTGTGACCCCCGAAGGGGCCGTGACCCACAGTGCTAGATGCTTGGCTACCGTTTTACAGAAAACTCTCTTTAAAAAGGGGGGGCATGAGAGGATGGGAGGGAGAGGGAACTAGATTGATATAGAAAATAAGATCGTTTCTAAATTAAATAATTTTTTTTGAAAAAAGAAGAAGGTCTGGGTGGTGGTGCACTCTGAATCTGAACACTTGGGAGGCAGAGGTAGGTGATCTCTGAGTTCAAGACCAGCCTGGTCTATAGAGTGAGTTCCAGGACAGTCGGGCAACACAGAAAAACCGTGTCTCAAAAAACCAAAACCAAAAAAAATTTTTTTAATTTAAAAAGGAATTAAGGGAAGAAAGGAGGAAGGGAGGGAGGGAAAGAGGGAGGGGGAGGAAGGGAAGGAGGGAGGAAGGGAGAGAGGGAGGGAGGAAGAAGTTAACTGTAAAACAGACGGAGTCGGGTCCTTGGGAGGAAAGGGCTCTGTCATTGCAGGAAAGGACAGTCCCATGCCTGTCACTCCCCACCAAGACCATCAAACGGGACAAGATGAAGAGTAGAGAGTGACACTGTAAGCCTGGCTCTACATGGGACAACAGTGACAGAGGTGAAGGGCCAGAGAGAGGCTTTGTCGGTTAAGAGCACGTGCTGGTTTTGCAGAGAGCTAGGGTTCAGATCCCAGCACCTAGTGCCCATTCACACGCACTCTGACACCCCGCATGCCCATCCTGCAAGTGCATCTCATTCTCCATCTCCTATCCTGTACTTTACGTTTGGCTCCGTTGAAGTAAACAGATGCTGACCCCTGTGTCCCCACCTGTCCATCCAGTCCCAGAGCACGCTGTGCAGGCTGCGGGCACTGTGCCACGCCTGAGTGTGGTGGCTCTGCCGTACAGCTGCGCATGCTCGCACTTCACGCGCCTTGAGCAAATTACCTTGCACGGTTCTTAGACCTTCTGTCTGTCTTTAAAGGACACACACGGCGGGAATCCAAAGTTGTGGTAAGGACAGAATGGCACACAGATATCTAACACAGGACTCACGGCACAGAGATTTTTCAAAACCCGGACTTCATCTTTCTTCGTCCCAGAATGGCTTTGATGAAGCTGTGATGGGTCAGGACACCAACTGTACCTCCAGCCTACCCGGAGGGCCAGAACACCATGTCAGCCCCGGAGCCCTGCCCGGCATGTCCCTTTCCCTGCTGTGCAGTCTGTCACTGCCAAAGATAAGGGAGGCCATCTCCTGTGTTTGCACGCCTGCACCCCTCTGCAAGGACCCCACATCTACACATGCCCCTTTCCCGACCAGACACTTGCACTTTCAAGACTCTCATCTCACCCCAAGCCTCTAAACCTACAAGTCTTCCCTCTGCCTCCGCCTCTCCCGGGACTCCATTCCTGGCTCCAGCATGGAGCCCTGTACAGGCTGTCTTACCACACAGAGCCTCTGAGAAAGGTTTCAACAAAAATGGGGCTCAAAGCCAGGCCTGAAGAAAGCCAATCGCTCTGCTTTTGCACAGTGGTGGGGGCAGACAGCACTAGTGCTGCTTCAGCTGGTCTCCAAATGCTGGGGAGACAAAGAGGAGCTGGTGGGAGGCGCAGAATAAAACCCCAAACCCACCTGCATGGGAACTCAGTGTGAACATAATCGGCCATTGGAGGACCTGCCTAAGAATGACTTGGCTCTTAGGAAGCGGTGGGCCAGTCACTCAGTGCTCCTGTGGGCTGTCTGCTGGGCCTGCCAAGATGCCCCAAAGTAAATCTCTTGGGGGAGGGCAGCAGCAGTGAGAAGGTACAGACAGCACGGCTCACTCAACTCTCATATGCTGGGTCCTTCTCCAGTCATCACATTCTACCTCGCTGGGAGATCCCTGCTCTCCATCCTTGACTCATGAAATCAGACATAAGAGTCGACCTGAACTGACCTCCCAGGCTCCCGTGGGCCATAGCTAAAGTGACTGACGTGCTTGCGGCTCAGTGGTTTTTTTGTTTTGTTTTTTTTTTTGGTTTTACGAGACAGGGTTTCTCTGTATTGTTTTGGAGGCTGTCGGTCCAGCCTGGCCTCAAACTCACGGAGATCCACCTGCCTCTGCCTCCCGAGTGCTGGGATTAAAGGCGTGCGGCTCAGTGGTTTTTGCAACCATCTTGTGACACGTTTGTTCACACGCTGCCCTGCATGCCCCATACCCAGCTGGGCATGCAGACCATGCCCGGCAGAGGTGGCACTGCTTGGGGTGAACAGTGCGCCGCCGTTGCATAGTCAGTGACTCGCAGTACATGCCATGTGCCATGCTGCCTCCCAAGGACAGAGACACGCAACGCAAACTCCTCCCACCCACGCCATTCACTGTGCACATTATCATGGCCTTCCCTATCTGTTAACATGACTTTGCTGTTCCAGGAAGCATAGGCAGGCCAGAAAGAGAAAAGCTGCAAGTAACTAGGTTACGGGAACTTCTAGAAGAAACCCCAACTATTTAAACAAACAATTTGATTTTCCAATAAACAGTGAACACTGTTTATTCTCTACAATTTGTGTTATAAAACCCGTCCCTGCTGTGGTCACGTGCCTGTGTTCTGGTCTGTTCTGATAGATGTGTCAGTCATGGCAGCTTCTAAGAAGGTTCCTCAGTTGCCAGCTGGTAATGAGCTGCTCACTGTCTACTTAGTTCCCTCCTCTCTGTTGCAGTTGAGGGAGAACATGGAAGTCATGCCCATGACTTGGCAGGGAGGAAAACTACAAGAGCCCAAGCCATGGGACTTCTGTGGGTGACAGCCACTGTGCTCGGCCAGGGAGACGCAGTCTTTCTTTTGTGCATGAGCCTCTGCATGCGGGGCTCTGTGACACTGGCACAATGGAGAGGTAAGGCTGCCCTCGAGCTCCTACCTTTCAGCTCCCGGAACCCAGCTGCAGGGAGGGAGGAGGGGGGGAGTAAAGGGGTCAAGACGGGGCTGGAGAAACCACAGAGACAGCTGACCTGAGCAAGGGGGAGCTCACGATATCTGGGAAACCAGTATAATACTGTCCCAGACCCCCTGAATGAGGGTGTCAG